GGTTCACACTTGCCGTTCAGTTTCACAGAAAGTTTCGCCGCCCTCCAGGCTGGTGCGTGGTCCTTTCGTGGGCTTTGCGCCCCGGCTTTCCTGGATGAAAGCTTTGTCCTCGCTCTTGGAAACATGGCTTTCACGTTTCGAGGCATGCAATCACAAACGAAGCCAACCATCCGGCTTTCGTGTATGCCTCCGCAAATATTCTGTGTCCGTGCAAGGGACGGGCTCCAGCGCTGTCACCGAGGTGGTTAGCAAGGACCCCTCTATACTTCAAGCATTAAAATGATGTAGCGTTAAACATCGTGAACTAGAATTCAAATCCATAGTTTTAACGCCAGAATACTGAATATCCTCATCTGAGAGGATGGCTACTACTGAACAACCGCAGTAAACCTACCTGTTTAGAGCTTTATCCATTTGCCACAGTTAACCCTGCTTTTCTGAAAGATGAGGTGAAAACAGATTAGAAATTCAAACAACGTTGAGTCATTGTATCCTACAAGGCAACTTTTCAAGATGTAAGACTATCCCCTCTGACTTTCAAGCCATAATTAACAAAAAGAAACAAACAAAAAAAATCAATGCCATGGAAACAAACCTAAAATTGCTTTAAAGGATTTGGAGTGTTAATTTAGTACTAGCTGCACAAGAAATCTATGGTTTCTACATTCAGACCCAGGACCCTGGGTCCTGGTTCTACATTCAGACAAAACTGAAGAAGGGAGACAGGCACATAACCCACAGTCAGACCTCAAAATAACGTGGTCAGTCCATCATCCACGCTCAGGTTTATTATTCTGCGAAGAGGGTAAAGCTGTGAATGATTTCGGTGACATGAAGCTAGAACTACCTTAGAAATTCGCGAAAACCATGAAAGCTTTTTGCTGGCACTGAGGGGAAGCTTATCGTGACACCTGCAGATTTGGGGGTTCTTCTGGGGTGTTTTGGCACGTGATAAACAGAAGAGTTTTGTTTCCAGAGCTGTCAACTGAGATTTTTTTCCTCTAGCAATAAAAGCACTTTTTATTTAAAAAAAAAAAAAAGCCCAAAACACAACCCACAACTTTGCAGAGTTGTTCACCAAAACGGGAAGCCACATGGCCTCAGACCATCAGGAGCAGAAATATTCGTGCAAACAGAAAACTACCTGCTACTTATTTTAAAACAGTCTCAGATAAAGATGACCTATTCCTGCTAGCCCTTCATTACGCGCTGCTCCCACTGAAGTCAACCTTGTTGCATTACACAGAAACAGCAAGATCTGTTTTAATTATAAAACACTGGCTGTAAAAAGCTAGATTGAAGGAAGTTTGGCACATGGCTATTACATAATATGACCCTAATGCAAAAAAAAATAATCTTATTATCTTTTAAAAAAAGTAAATGCAAGAGTTTGAAGCAGCTCCTTGCTGAAGGACAAGGAGAGTATTTTTGCCCTCCTCCCCCTTGCCAAGAAAGAAGCAGAATTAAGTCCCCAAAGAAAGCAGGGAGGGAAGGAGAAAGCCGCAACTCACCTTATGGTGACCCTGTATTGCTGTGTACAGTTACAGGACACCTGGCGCTGTGAGAGTCTGTGGTCCTAATGAGGGATGCCAGGACAAAATAAACATGTCCAAAAACCTGGAGGGAAAAAAAAAATATATATATATAAACTTCGTGTGGGAAATAGCATGAGCACTAAAAATTAGGAATACAGACACGTTCAAGAGCTAGCCATACAGCCCCCCTGCCCCATCCAGGAGGATTAACTTCAAAAACTTTCCCAGGTATCTGTTGCTGTTACTGCTTTTCTTTATATAAAAGGTAGAACTAAACAGTACAGACTTTGAAGCTCTGCTAGCTGACAATAAATAGCTATTGCCTGGGAAGTCACCAACCCAGCTGCAAAACATCTCCATTACAGAGGAGAAAGGTTTTCTACTGCTGGCCTCATGGGGCAAAACGCCTGATATGAATCAGCATTGGCCTTTCGGGGGTGGAGGGGCACCTTAAAAAAACCTGATCCCCTCTCCTGAACTGGTTTGCAACTTTGCATGTTCCACAGGACTCCTCCTACTGTGCTACTCTTAGCAGCAGCAACAAATTTCCCTTACTTTCTTTTACTCAGAGGAAGTTTTGCTCAGTCATCCTACAATCGCTCCTGGCCCCAACGATCAAGTTTTAGAAACTGCCAGAGCCCAAAACCCAAAGAATTTGCACCAGCCATTATGTGCCCTTTAGCGTGTCCTGAGCAACAACCATTAGCACGCTCTGCATGAGACTCGGCCAACTCTCCTATTTCCAAATAGCCTAACGCTATCTGTATCATCGAGAGTTGCAGTATTGTCTACCAATGGATACCTTTATAACTCCCCTAAAGTGACAGGGGAGAAAGCAGCATACTGCAGATAACAAAAACCAGTAAGGACCAGAAAGTCCACTGAAGATGGACACCAAGAGGATATGGCTGTAGGAGACCAGAAAAGGTTATGCTTTGTGGCATAAGTCTTGAGAACAGCCTCCCACATGCTCCACAACCAGTATTTCACTTGAGCTTTGCACCGCTGCGAGACTGAACGAAATTAAAATAACAAATACAAAATGGTAGTTTGCTATAAACATAAAAAGGTTTGTCAAGACCCCACTCTCCAAATCAGGTTCCAGCAAGGAGTAGCTCAACCTCCGCTGCAATGTTTGGTGTTGATTTTTTTTTCTCCTCATTTTTTCCATTTTCATTACATTCTTACAAAAAAAAGCATGAAACGTTGTTACTAAATAGAGAAAAAGAAGAACTAAAGAGTATTTATCAGTATTGGGGAGAGAAGATCAGTTTGCATGTCTAATAAGAAAATTCTATTTTTGCCCAATACAGTGGAGTTCTACCAACAGCACACATGCACTTTTCAAGTGCTAGCCAAAATAATTACTTCTCTCCTTCTATGGGGGAGAAAAATCCACTAAATCATGAATATTCAATGGATTGATTAATGACATACTAATCCTTTAGCTAAAATCTCTGCTCCTTAAAATACAGTGAACGCTAGCTGCCAGTTACAAGAATTGAAAATACAAAAATAACTTGGTTTCCAGAAGTTATCTTACCCTGATCACTTTGGAAGTGTACAATGGTAGTATGATACCATGACGCGTCAGGGACAGACTCTCTTCACATTCTGGTAGACGTAAACCAGGCAGAAAAAACTGGTTTCTTGCTACTTACTGGAGCCGCTGCCAGCGTTGTGTGTTCTCCACAATAGGCATGCGGCAAAGGTGCCTTTCCCCTCAGCTCCGGCTCAGCCCTCTCCCACCTGCTCCCAGGGCTGGCAGCGAGCGAGGGTGTTGCTGGGGTGCACTGCACCCACCTGGAGAAGTCTAAACATCTACATTTCCAGCCTTGTAAACACCAGCATAAGAAAGCAGATGTTTGGGTCTACTTAGATATATTTGCTTGAACTGCATAAATTACCCTTTCTGTGACTCTGAATCCCTGCATGAAAACCATGATCTGCAAGGGGGGCCACACAACACCAAACCACAAGGGTTCAATTTAGCACCATGAGCTGTTTCCTCAAAATCTTAAAGTTCTGGCTGGAGTATTAGTTAGTGTAATTGGGTTTCTTCTTTGTTTTCAGGCTTCAGTTGGTGCTCAGGAGTTGCCAGTCTTTCCTTTTTCTCTCAGGCTTTTGAGAGATTATTCAGCTTTAATTTTGTTTCTTTGCTGCCTGAAACCACCTCTGAGAGAGTCCTTCCCCAGCAGGCCAGGTGAATTCAAGCCTCCATATTGCCCATGGGCTCTTTGTTTTTCACACTGGTGTTTTCTCCATGCAGGAATTTGCTCCATGAAGTGGTAACAGCTTCTGCAGGAGGCATGGAGCATGCGCTCGCCTGCTGGCAACAGTTCAGGAAGGGTAGTTGCAAGATGACTTGCAGCATGCGGCCTTGTTGCATGCAGAGCTGCAGTCCACACGCTGCTCCAGAAAACGCAGTAGTGCTGGCGTTGCAAGGGTCACAAACATCATTACTTTTCT